CTTCGGTGAACCCGGCAGTTATCGAGAAGTTAGTAGTCGTCGGCAAAACCGTCGGTAATTGTTCAGTAAAACACTGGTAAGGTGCCAGTAAGGTGTCGATAACCCGTTGGTAAAAGAACGTATGTCGGTATATCGTCGGTAATGTCGGTAAAAGAACGTATGTTGGTATATTGTCGATAACGTCGGTAAAAGAACGTATGTCGGTATATCGTCGGTAATGTTGGTAAATCGAAAGTGTTCTCAATTGATTATTGTTTAAATGACTACTTTGTTGTACGGATTTACGAAGTTATTTCTTGAGACACAAGATTTTTAAGAGATTGAACTATTTGCGTTTTTCCGTGTTAGAATTCCGAGGGTGGCACCGCATGTGGTGGTCGACCCTAGTTTTATAGCCCGACCTTTTTTTTATAGCTTCCGCAGTGACGATGGAAAAGAGGAAAAATGCGTCGGAGATTTTTCTAGAATGTTCTCTTCCACGTGGTAGAAGCGTCTCTGAATTTGCTAACACGCGCGATTCCTTAGGTTAACGTGAATTTCACTTACCTTTAGTAGCACTTTCTTGATCGTGTCGGCTCGTACTTGGAGGTAGTGCGTGCGGCGAGGGTCGTTCACTGGGATGTTTGGCGGCGGCAGGCGTCGTGGTTGGAACGTTATTGGTATGCACTTCCACTGTAGGAGTTCGTCGTTGTTATTATTTTTAATGTTGAAAATGTTCTCGTATTCAGGATCGGCCTGATATTCCACTCCGAGGAATTGAGAATATTCCTCGGTCGCTGATTCGCGATAAAGTCGGTTTAGTTTTCGTAATTGATTCTTCCTTCCTGCGCGTCGCGTCTTAGGCATATTGAATTTGATGCATCCTCTGAATGATTACTCAAATAAGGAGGGTTGATATGCGGCGGACCTCACTATCAATTCCTTATTTTGGCAAATGCTGAGAATGTTAATTCTGACTGTGATGAGCGGTGGTCCGCTCCAAACACAGTTTGAATTATTCTGAATTCAAACGCCGTATGACAAATTTAAACGCTATCGTATTTTATCACGGGAGTGGAAGTTTTGAAGAATACTGAACACTAGTTTTCACACATGAATACACTGATTTATTCGTATAGTAGTACAAAATTCGAGACTAAAACTTAGAATTAGAATTTAGATTTAGACTTAGAATTTAGAGTTAGAATATTATACTTAGAGTTAGAATTTTAGAATTAGAGTTAGGATTTAGAATTTGGACTTAGAGTTAGAATTTAGGAGTGCGACTATACTGTTCGGTGTCGCGCAGAGAACTGCCGAAATTCGGGACTGCTCTGAGGTCCTTCGTTTCGGCGGCTCGGGCCTGCGGCGGCCTGGAGAGGGGGAACTCTCCGGAGTAGGGGCTCTCACCGTGGTGGGAGATCCTTAGGCGCTACGAAGCGCCACGCTTAGTTTCTAGGCGGAGTTAAGCGTCATGGCCGGCTTTGGCGCGCTTTTCAAATAGCGTTTAAGGAACTTGGAGTAAACGAAAAAATTTATACGGCCGGACGTGACAACTGCAGCGGTTGTGTCGGAGTACTCTACCCGCAGCATGCGCGGCTGCCGAAACCACGTATGTGGCTAGGCAGCTTGTTTGGTGTGAAAACCAGATGCGAGTGCGGGGTCACAAAGTGACTACGACCGCTGAGCTCAGACAGCAGTGTGCGGCCTGGTTGGCGAGTCGTGCGATGGGAGTGGACTCAGAGAGGTTGCGGCCTCCAACCTGAGCTCCTACTGGGTATCGGCTGGCGCCGATGCCACCCAGGTGCCGACTACGTGCACTATCACCACATACGAGCTAACTGCATACCGTCTAGAGCGAGATGCTTTCGAGGTCGTGATGGGCGCGATAATCGCTGTCGTGCCGGTTGTCCCGAAACCGATACGCCGGCTCACTGCGTGCAACGCTGCTTCAGAACGCACGGAGGGAAAATCCTGCGGCATGACGACCTATGCCGTCAAGTTGGTGGCTATTTACAGCAGAAGGGATGGCGCGTCGATGCGAAACAAGCGTATTTGACGTCTGCCGGCCGGAGGCGGCCCGACCTGACCATCGCTAAGGGTGGTGAGGCAGTGGTCGTAGACGCGCAGGTAGTGTCTAGCAAAACCGCGTTGGAGATGTCCCACGAGCGTAAGGTGAAAAGTACCGGTCATGTAATGATCTGGCAGCCGCTGTGGCGGAGCGCACAGGAGTACCACGAAATAATGTTCGTTTTACCGCCATTACTATTTCGTGGCAAGGTGTCTGGAGCTCGCGAAGCGAGTCTGAGTTGCGGGGGCTGGGTTTAACGTCCGCCCAGCTCCGAACGTTGACGATTCGGGTCTTGTGGGGCTCATGGCTGGAAACGTTTTAACGCAATGACATCGCGTTATAACGAGAGAAGACGGAACGTGGCCTCATCTAGTGGTGCATGATGGATGGCGCGTAGAGTTGGGGGCCTCCGCATCATTCGCGCGAGTTTGAATGATTGCGTGAATGGTTGAGGTGAAATACGAGCTGCCTTTATCTAGCTCCGACCTTCACGATCCAGGGTGTTGACTGCGAACACCAACAGTAAACAGCTCTGCAATATCGCTGTCGGTGGCGACTTGGCGACTGTGATTTTGTAGCAGTCGTCGCGCACCGTAGGCGAAACAGCCAAATGCCTCGTCATCTAATTAGTGACGCGCCATCGCCACCCTCCCCTGACCCCTTTCCAGGCCCTTCTCGTCGGCCGCCCGCTGGGCCACAACGCCGCCCAAACCCGCTGCCCCTGTCCCTGCTCCCCGCAAGCCCCGCAATTCCCATGCCCACACTGTGATCGTGCGTTCACCACGAAGACCGGACTCGGCCTCCATCGCCGACGTGCACACGAGGCCATCGTCAACGAGGAGGTTAACGTCGAGAGTGTTAACCGCCAATGGAGCGACGAAGAGAAGCGCATGATGGCGAGGGAGAAGGCGCTTGCCGCGAATCGAGGCGTTAGGTTTATGAATCAACATCTGTTAACCGTCGTCCCGAATCGCACCCTTGATGCCATCAAGGGGATGCGTAAGAACGGCGGTTACCAGCGCCTCGTCGCGACGGCACTGGAGGATCTGGCAGCCGCATCATCAAGCGAGAGCTCGTTTCTCTCGGCCGGTGGCTCCAGTCCTTCCGTCTCCCCTCGACCCATCGCCATCTCTCCCCACGGGTCGCCTGGCTCGCCTCCGTTTTCTCCATCTTCTCCCGGCTGGGGTGATGCGTACGGCAGTTTTGCCGGTGCTATACGCGCGCTCATCCCGGTTGTGGAGGCCATCCAGGGATGGAAGTCCCATATCCTGATCCAGATAGGATCAGGAATTCTGGATGGCCAGCGGAGGACCTGGGCCCGTGGGTATTGAGTGTGTTCCCTCCGACGCTTCCTCGTGTGCGACCGCCCGTACGAAACCGTGTTGTCAATCCGGATAGAAAAGCGCGCCGCCGAGCGGAGTATACGCGCGTCCAGCGCCTCTTCCGTTCGAGCATGTCGCGCGCGGCCAAGGAGATTCTGGATAGTGCCACTGAGGCGGACGTGGTTCCCGGTGTGCGGCAGATGGCCGCGCACTGGGGCCCGTTCGTAGCGCAGGAGTCCGCTCCTGTCGCACCGGCTCCGCGTCTTCCACCGAAAGCGGAGCTTAGTGGCACCTGGTCTCCAATCTTCTGTGAGGAGGCGGCAGCCATCAACCTGCCCCCTAACTCGGCCCCCGGATTAGACGGCATCGGCGTACGGATATGGAGAGCGGTACCAGCTTCCATCAAAGCTCTCCTCTTCAACATCGTGCTGCAATACGGAGGTTTCCCAGCATCGATGCTGGTGAGTCGGACGGTTTTCATCCCGAAGAGGGGGGAGTGCTCCCTGCCGGGGGATTTCCGTGTAATAGCGAACCTTCCGCTCGTGGGCGTCCGATAAGGGAGTCGCTCCGCTGACGACCTGTGCGTCCACCACAACGGCCTTGGGGCCACGCAGGCAAAGCAAGTCAGGCTTGCGTTTGCCCTCGGTCGTGACGTACGACGGTTCTTCTCGTACGGTCCAGCCCACGTTCCTCAGTCCTGACGCTAGGACTCTGCACACTGCGTTGTGCCTGAGGACGCGGCCACCATGGGTGCGGAAACACCCCTGGATGACGTGCGCGGCTGTCTCTGTTGAATTACAGCCTGCACGACATCCGGTGGCGTACTGCTCCCGCCTCACCCCCCTAGACGTACGTATACGCGTCGGGAGGGTATTGGCGAGAACATGCACGTACTGGACATAATCACGACCGGGAATGGCGTGGCTACCGTGATCCACCCACCAGGAGGACAGGTTGGACCCCGGACACTCCCGCAATTCGTATCCGTCGACTGACTGATGCAGTCGACGGGACCACCACACGTCCCGCCGGTGTTTGGTGGCCAAGCACACCCCATTGCGGGTCAGGGCCCGCTGGGCCTATTCCCCCCGGCGCTCCGCCCAGGTGTAGTGGGCGATTGCCCCAACCTGCGGGGCTGTCGAGGATTCCAAGCTGCGCAGACGACTAAGCAGCAAACCTGGAACCGTGGTGGCAAGAGCGGGAATGCCGAGACCGCCACTCGAAACTGGTGAGTGGAAAAAGGCCGTCGGAACATCGTGCGGAAGACGAAGCCATCTGCGAACCGCTGCGCGGGTTGTTACGTCGAGAGCTCTCAATTTTCCAAGTGTGGCCCTACCCAGGACCAGCGAGTGGTAGAGGCGAGGAAGAAGAAAGCAGCGGACGATCTTTAGCCGCTGCTGGTGCTTCAGAGGTGCTCTGCTCAGCCGGCTCAGATATATGGATATATCCGAGCCGACTTTCTTCGGTCCTGCCGGCCGGAAATCGACCCCGAGGTACCGCCATTCGGCATTCGTATCCAGCTGCGGGAGGAATGTTTCATCCCGCAGGCGGAATTCCGGGGCCGTCAGGATTTTAATTTTCTTTTCCCGGCCAGAAGGAACGAGAGAAAGAACAGAGCACTTCTTGGCTTAAAAAAGAAGCCCCGTCTCCCTCGCTGTGTCCTCCACCACCCTGATGCTGGTCTGGAGACCCCACTTGGTGGCAGCAAAGAAGAGAACATCGTCAGCATAGGCTAGGCTGTTTATGCGATGTTCTCCCATTTGGTAACCGACGTCGGCAGGTATGGATCTCATGATCACATCTACCACCAGGCAAAACAGCACTGGTGATAAAGGATCCCCCTGCCTGACGCTTCTGCCAATACCAGAGAGCTCTGACCTGTCACCGCGCACTTCAAATATCGTGCCGCTGCGCGCATAACTATGCGCAATATAGTCTATTAGGCCGTGAGGCACGCCCAGGCCAGCCAAGGCGTTGGTGATAGCACCATGGCTGACGCTGTCGAAGGTTTTGCAAAGTCCAGCGAGGCAACGTGCATCTCGCGACGACGGGACCTGGCGTCCATTAAGAGGGACGGCAGGACGGCTACATTGTCGCCGCACCCGTCATCAAAGCACCGCTGCCTTAGATTGACTAGCTTGGACTCGCGAAGTCTTTGGGCAAAGATCTTATGTAAATGCCTCACGACCACGGAGGTGATGGAGATCGAACGGAAATCCCCCGGCAGGGAGCACTCACCCCTCTTCGGGATGAAAACCGTCCGACTCACCAGCATCGATGCTGGGAAACCTCCGTATTGCAGCACGATGTTGAAGAGGAGAGCTTTGATGGAAGCTGGTACCGCTCTCCATATCCGTACGCCGATGCCGTCTAATCCGGGGGCCGAGTTGAGGGGCAGGTTGATGGCTGCCGCCTCCTCACAGGAGATTGGAGACCAGGTGCCACTAAGCTCCGCTTTCGGTGGAAGACACGGAGCCGGTGCGACAGGAGCGGACTCCTGCGCTACGAACGGGCCCCAGTGCGCGGCCATCTGCCGCACACCGGGAACCACGTCCGCCTCAGCGGCACCATCCAGAATCTCCTTGGCCGCGCGCGACATGCTCGAACGGAAGAGGCGCTGGACGCGCGCATACTCCGCTCGGCGGCGCGCTTTTCTATCCGGATTGACGACACGGTTTCGTACGGGCGGTCGCACACGAGAAAGCGTCGGAGGGAACACACTCAATACCCACGGGCCCAGGTCCTCCGCTGGCCATCCACAATTCCTGATCCGATCTGGATCAGGATATGGGACTTCCATCCCTGGATGGCCTCCACAACCGGGATGAGCGCGCGTATAGCACCGGCAAAACTGCCGTACGCATCACCCCAGCCGAAAGAAGATGGAGAAAGCGGAGGCGAGCCAGGCGACCCGTGAGGAGAGATAGCGATGGGTCGATGGGAGACGGGAGGACTGGAGCCACCGGCCGAGAGAAACGAGCTCTCGCTCGATGATGCGGCTGCCAGATCCTCCAGTGCCGTCGCGACGAGGCGCTGGTAACCGCCGTTCTTACGCATCCCCTTGATGGCATTAAGGGTGCGATTCGGGACGACGGTTAACAGATGTTGATTCATAAACCTAACGCCTCGATTCGCGGCAAGCGCCTTCTCCCTCGTGTCACGTCCGGCCGTATAAAATTTTTCGTTTACTCCAAGTTCCTTAAACGCTATTTGAAAAGCGCGCCAAAACCGGCCATGACGCTTAACTCCGCCTAGAAACTAAGCGTGGCGCTTCGTAGCGCCTAAGGATCTCCCACCACGGTGAGAGCCCCTACTCCGGAGAGTTCCCCCTCTCCAGGCCGCCGCAGTTCCGAGCCGCCGAAACGAAGGACCTCAGAGCAGTCCCGAATTTCGGCATTTCTCTGCGCGACACCGAACAGTATAGTCGCACTCCTAAATTCTAACTCTAAGTCCAAATTCTAAATCCTAACTCTAATTCTAAAATTCTAACTCTAAGTATAATATTCTAACTCTAAATTCTAAGTCTAAATCTAAATTCTAATTCTAAGTTTTAGTCTCGAATTTTGTACTACTATACGAATAAATCAGTGTATTCATGTGTGAAAACTAGTGTTCAGTATTCTTCAAAACTTCCACTCCCGTGATAAAATACGATAGCGTTTAAATTTGTCATACGGCGTTTGAATTCAGAATAATTCAAACTGTGTTTGGAGCGGACCACCGCTCATCACAGTCAAAATTAACATTCTCAGCATTTGCCAAAATAAGGAATTGATAGTGAGGTCCGCCGCATATCAACCCTCCTTATTTGAGTAATCATTCAGAGGATGCATCAAATTCAATATGCCTAAGACGCGACGCGCAGGAAGGAAGAATCAATTACGAAAACTAAACCGACTTTATCGCGAATCAGCGACCGAGGAATATTCTCAATTCCTCGGAGTGGAATATCAGGCCGATCCTGAATACGAGAACATTTTCAACATTAAAAATAATAACAACGACGAACTCCTACAGTGGAAGTGCATACCAATAACGTTCCAACCACGACGCCTGCCGCCGCCAAACATCCCAGTGAACGACCCTCGCCGCACTACCTCCAAGTACGAGCCGACACGATCAAGAAAGTGCTACTAAAGGTAAGTGAAATTCACGTTAACCTAAGGAATCGCGCGTGTTAGCAAATTCAGAGACGCTTCTACCACGTGGAAGAGAACATTCTAGAAAAATCTCCGACGCATTTTTCCTCTTTTCCATCGTCACTGCGGAAGCTATAAAAAAAAGGTCGGGCTATAAAACTAGGGTCGACCACCACATGCGGTGCCACCCTCGGAATTCTAACACGGAAAAACGCAAATAGTTCAATCTCTTAAAAATCTTGTGTCTCAAGAAATAACTTCGTAAATCCGTACAACAAAGTAGTCATTTAAACAATAATCAATTGAGAACACTTTCGATTTACCAACATTACCGACGATATACCGACATACGTTCTTTTACCGACGTTATCGACAATATACCGACATACGTTCTTTTACCGACATTACCGACTATATACCAACATACGTTCTTATACCGACATTACCAACCATATACCGACGAACGTTCTTTTACCAACGGGTTATCGACACCTTACTGGCACCTTACCAGTGTTTTACTGAACAATTACCGACGGTTTTGCCGACGACTACTAACTTCTCGATAACTGCCGGGTTCACCGAAGATCTACGAGCGAATGACGCATTATCAATTCGATTACGCAACAAACACAAATGTGCCCACTCACCCTTAGAGGTATAACTCCTCCTCCAGAAGTTAATCTCTTTGTACCGTTTGAACCCTTATTCTATTGCCAAGTTGGTGTCGGGTACATCCATTTTGAGACTAAGGCAGCTCTCTGCATTTCATGCTACTCCACCTTACCTAGAGTCTCGAAATTACTTTGGACAAGGATTCGGAAGCATACTCTAATCATAGGCGGAACACCTATCGGAATAAATTGCGGAGTCTGCAACTTCCGACTTACCCTCACGCGAATCGGTGATTTGTGCGAGCTTTGTCAGTTTACGTACGAAGATTACTTACGCAACCCCAACGACGTTTCGCATAGAGCAATCGACGAAGCTATCTTTATTACAGTAGAGTCACAGGTAGGTCCCACGCAATAATCCGATCACCTCAGTTCCAGCGCGAATAACCTCAGATCGCGGGTATCCCCGGGGAGAATCGCATAGATTCGCGTACCCGTAATAGCGATCGTGTCTCGTGGAAAAAGCCGAGCTCTGCATTCAAATTTTCGCAGCCGCGACCCCACGAGACGTAACAGTAGCGAAATGTCGTTGGTCAATTTGTCAAAAGCCGTTTTTAATTCCCGGTCCGCCCCGTGAAAGTTCGTGCTGTTGTCGCTGTAGAGTTTTTGTGGCAATCCTCGTCGACTAACGAATCTTCGAAAGGCCGCTATAAATCCCGCAGAGGAATAATCCTCAACGAGCTCTATGTGGATAGCCTTCGTCACAAGACAGATAAACAAGGCGATGTAACTTTTACGTGTCTTTTGTCCTCTACCGACTAATGAAGTAACAAGGAACGGCCCGGCGTAATCTACTTTCGTATGCGTGAACGGAGATGATGGATTTACGCGAGGGGAGGGAAGATCTCCTATAAGTTGATTTGATAGTTTGTTCGCGTAACGAGCACACACGACACATTGTCTAATGCAATGTTTTACGGCATTACGACAACTTAATATCCAATATTTTTGGCAGAGTGTTCTAAGCACAAGTTGAGTTCCTCCATGAAGTGAGCTTCGGTGCGTTTGATCAATTAATAACTCGGCTACTCGACCCCGAGGAATTAAGATAGGGTGTTGTTCCTCGAAGGATAGTGCGGAATTCCGTAACCGCCCGCCGAAACGTAGTAAGGAATCTTTTCTTATGAAAGGATTAAGAGGCTTCAGTGGGCTCTTTCGCGGAAGGTTTTCTTCTCTCTTTAATGCTTTGAGTTCGGAGTCGAACGACTTCCTCTGCGTATATGAGACCCAAAACATTTCCGCGCGTTTAAGTTCGTCCGCGTTAAGAGACAACGCAACATTAGCTTCAAAATTCCTTTGTTTAGCGGAGCGGGATATAAATCTGTAAGCGTAGGCTGTCACTCGAATGAGCTTAGTCCAGGAGGAGTATCTATAAGGGAGATCCCATTCCGGTGTACCTTCCACGTGAAGGACAGTGGACTTTCGACTTTCCGAGTGTATTTGCTTAGTTAACTCCGTGGAGATCGGAGAAGCAATGTTATGTGGCGGCCACGCTGTTGAAGGCCATTGAAGCCAAGGCGGGCCCGCCCACCATAACGGATGTGAGACTAACTTGGATGCGTACAACCCTCTGGATGCACAGTCGGCCGGATTGTCTTTGGACGGTACGTGATTCCATTTGGCCGAGGGTAGATTACACTGCACCTCGGATACTCTGTTTGCTACGTACGTAGTCCATTTCGATGGATGTTGGCGTAACCATGCCAACGCGATCGTGGAGTCCGTCCAACAATGGATCGGACAATGAATAATATTTAATGACTTAATTACCCACTTAACGAGTCGACTCAATAAAACAACGGCGTTGAGCTCGAGCCGCGGAATGCTAACAGTCTTGACGGGAGCCACCTTCGACTTCGCAACGATCAAGCTAACACGGTATTCCGAAAGAGAATGGAAAACGCGCAAGTATACGACCGCAGCGTACGCGCGATTTGAAGCGTCGGCGAATCCATGTATTTCTAACGCGAGATTATCAGGGCTCTGACCCGTCCACCGAGGAATTCTAACGGATTCTAATTGCGGGAACTCGGAAGCGAAAGCATTCCACCGTTGACTCAATTCGTTCGGAAGCGGAGCATCCCAGTCGCAATGTAAAAGCCATAGCTCTTGCAGAATGATTTTTGCGTTTATTACAACCGGCGCAGCCCATCCGAGGGGGTCATACAAGCTCGCGATGCACGACAGGATTGAACGCTTAGTTAACGCGGTAGGAAAATTAAATTTCACAGTAAGGCGGAAGGAGTCTTCCGTAGGGAGCCATGATAATCCGAGTATTTTCAACGTTTCGTCCTTTAGGATAAGGTGATCGGTAACGTCCGATTGATCGCTGGATAAATCGTCAAGAAGCTCGCTACAGTTTGAAGCCCATTTACGAAGTGAAAAACCTCCGCGCCTCATTAGCTCAGCGAGCTGAGTTCGCGTATTTATTAACGAATCGATATCGTTTGCTCCGAACAATGCGTCGTCCACGTAAATGGAATCATTGACGATCGGTACCGCGGCAGGAAACTTTGCACCTTCATCAAGCGCGAGCTGTCGAAGCACGCGCATCGAAAGATAAGGTGCCGATGCTAAACCATACGTCACTGTAAGAAGGCGAAAATGAGTAAGCGTCATCCGTCGGACGCCACAGGATTCTTTGGTAATCGACGTCCCGCGGATGTACGCGTATTTGTCGAAACATCTTGGCGATGTCTGCCGTATAAACCAAGCGCCATGCACGCCAACGCAATAAGACGGCAGGGAGATCCTGCTGCAACTTTGGCCCGATGAGCAAATGGTCGTTAAGTGACGTGCCATTCCGGGTTTTACACGACGCGTTAAATACGACTCGAAGCTTTGTGGTGCAACTATCCTCTCTTATTACTGGATGATGGGGAATATAAATCGGTATATTCTCAGTGGGTTCGGACTCGCCAACGCGAGTCATATGTCCAAGGGCCTCGTATTCTGTAAGAAAGTCTCTGTATAGCGAACAGAGATCGGATTTTGAATTCAATTTATTTTCCAGACGACCGTACAATGTACGCGCTATGGAGAGAGATTCCCCGATATCGATCGGCAAAGCATTTTTGAAAAGTAATCTCACGACATAACGACCGTCAGGATCACGACTGTGCGTTTGAGCGAAATGAGATTCGCATTTTTCTTCCTCCTCCGTGAGGGAAGTTGGCGTGGGAATCTCTTTGTCCTCCCAGAATTTCTGGAGGAGAGAGTCCACATCCAGCGCGGATACGCAATTCAAAACAGTTACTTCTTGTGAAGTAGTTTCTTTACTTCCGGTCGGTCCAGAGATTATCCAACCGAACGAGGTCGATTGGGCAGTGGGCGCTCCATAGGGGCCCTGTCTCAGGTCGCGCAATAAGAGCGAACCGTACACGTCCGCGCCGATCAGCATGTGAATCTGATGTCGACTAGATGGATCCGGATATGCTAGTGAAAGGCCCTGTAAATGAGGCCATGATTCTATAGGCCGAATTCGCGACGTGGCGTACGAAGTTATTCGCGGGAATACATACGCAGTGACCGGAAAAACAGGATTCAATTTTTCGCACGGCGTCAAATTTAGCGAAACTCGATCGCGCAGAACCGGCATATTTCTCCCCGAAACCTTTTATTTGAAGATCGGTCCTCTGTCGTTTAGTGCGAAGCGTTTGACTCAATGCTTCGGAAATAAAGCTAAAATTAGACCCTTGATCTAATAAAGCGCGGACCTTAAAACATCTTCCTTCAGAAGTGTGTATGTCAACCCACGCGGTCGCGAGAAGAACGGTGGGCATCGTGGTATTCTAAGGTTTGAGAGTTTGCACGCTGGCGACGGCGGCGTCGCCGACTACGACAGTCTTACTCGTGGTAGTAGACGCATTAACGCTCGAATTCGATAAACGGGAATTTTCCGCTGTGTCCTTATTTTGATCACTCTCATTGTGTAACAATGTGTTATGAGAGCGTTGACAATGAGCGCATCGAATTTTGCTCGAGCATTTCGGCGTGAAATGTCCCGCTCGCAAACAATTGAAGCAGACCCGATTCTGTCGCGCGATGGCATGCCGCTATGTCGCGTTTTTCCGACGAAATTCCTCGCACTTCATTACCGAATGACTGCCGGAACAGCAAATGCACTTAATCGCGGAAAGATTATGAACGGAGGACTGCGTTTTGTCACTCTTAGAATTGACGATTACTTTAGGATTGTCGGAGAAGTCCGACAGACCTCGTATTCGAAGCGTGAGGAATTCATGAATATCCTTGTACGAAGGAAGCTCGCGACTTGACGAAATTTTTAAATTCCATTCGCTCCTTGTTTTCGAACTAAATTTTTGAGAGATGACGTAGACGAGAATGTCATCCCACTCGCGTACCGGCCGCTTTAGATTAGTGAGAGCCGCTAGAGATGCGGACACGGTATCTCTCAACTTTCGCATTTCCGCGACGTTTTCCGCCTTCATTGTCGGTAGGCACATGAAGGCGTGAATGTGAGTATGGATCAACGTAAGTTGATCATCATACTCGTCAATCAACAACTGCCAGACGGACTCATAATTAGCGTCGGAAATCTTTAAATTACTAATAATCGAGGCAGCGTCACTGATGACGCTCGTTTTGAGGTAATGAAATTTCTGCGTGTTCGAGAGAGAATCATTACTCGCGACAAGAGACTCGAAAGTATTTTTAAAACTCTCCCATTCGGAGAACTTGCCCGAAAACTTCGGAAGTGAGATCCGTGGCAACTGAAAATTGTGATTATGAATGCCCTCGCGAATTGAAGAATCAGTACTGTGTTCTAACAACGGAGATTGATTAATTGAGAATCGACTTATCGTATCGCGAAGGAGGTCGGCCGTGTCGTGGTAGATCTCCTCGGCGCTCAGGAAGTCTCCATTCAGGAAATACGAGACAGTCTTCTGCTCCTCCGAAGTTGTGGCTTGCAGCAGCTTGACGTGTAGCCCTCGACAGGAAGTCCAAAGCGTTTCCAGCGTTGCAAGACGCCCCTGCGTCTTTGCTAATGTAACATTAGCTTTCGCTAATTTCTTGAAGTTAACGAGAACTCGCTTTATCGAGTCGATTGTTTCAACTTGCGAGATGAGCAAATTTCTTAATTCTGCCATTATTTCTTCGTTAATGAGCTATTAATAGTGACTTGATCGAAGGTACCGGGCTCGTGAGCACGGTGCCGACGGCAACGAATGCGCGACGACTTTTGGTCGAATCGCGACACTGTTATGTCGCTTAAGAATACACGGGATATGCCGGGGAGCGTTACCGCTGCGCCGACGGCAACCTTTCCGCGGATGTTTTCTTATCGACAAGCGGATTTCTCCGGTGCCTGAAGAATTAACGCCGTGACGTTCAATTGCCACGCCGACGGCGTCGAACTCGCGACGATTCCCTTTTAATCGTCGCGTCCAGTCTCGATTAGCACAGTGTATGATGTTCCGGGCGTGTTATCGACGCCGACGGCAACACCTTCGCGGAATACTTCACTTCGTTCCGCGAAACACGATGTAATTTTGACTTTGAGTTCACGAATTGTTTCCACCACCAGACCCCCGCGTTTGAACCTTGTAAATGAACTCGCGAATAAGGCGCGAAGCTCAACATTTAGATTCCCGCGGGAATGTTCGTTAAAGTTAACTCCACGACGGGAAAATAACTCCACTTGTCGCTCAAGCAGAGTGAGTGAGCCCAGAGAGAAAACCCGTTGGATAGTGAACGCGACACTGTCTTTGTTCTTCTTCTGCACTCATTCGATTGTAAAACGAGGAGTCACAGTCCGACGTCTCACTGACAATGTTCACCCGTTCCGTCTCACAACGCGAATCTCGCGTAGTTTGATTATCCGTATGATCGGGTCAACGAAAAATCCGGCTCGAAGGACCAATGTTTTTCCTTTTATTTAATTTTAATAACAGTAATTTTATTGTATCATATCAGATTTGTACACTGTATCTGGTTCCGACGCTTCGGACCCTTTTGATAGACTATTGAATACGTGATTGAGGTTCGATTGTCGTTCTTCAAGAACAAAGAAAGACAGGATATCGCGGATCCGTTACAAGCATACCGCTTTATCGTTGGGTGCTCTCGACTGTGTCTTTGGGCTAACTGAACTCCCTTTTTAACCTCGGGGAAGACAACCGATTCGGAATCACGAGCTTTGCATGAACTCGGCGCGTGACACGCGCGCGGCTAATCGTGATTCGCTGGCCGGTTGACCTGTCGATGTCCGCTCGAGGTGCCAAACAAAGTCGATCGTTGGTCGAGCCTTGAGTCCCTGGCTTCGACTCGGAACCAGAACAATATATATATATATATTTTTTTTTCTCGACAGCTTTGTTCCAAGTTTTAAACAGTGATAAATATTATTATTTTGAATGTGATAATTATTAATCAGAGAAATTCTAATAAAATTCTTTTCATACCATATTCTCTTACAATTACCATAACTTTTAGGGTAAATTCTAAGAGAAAATTCTCTCAGTGTTTTGATTAATTATTAAAAATTACTTGTAAAAACGCGCGGCGCGCACAGCACACGTTGCTCGATGCGGACGGCAATAGTTTACACGGCAAAGACACGACAATCATAATCACAATCTAAGAGAATTTTTTCTTAGAATTTACCTAGAAAATTATGGTAATCGTAGGACATTATGATGTGTGTATAAGATTTAACGTTGTAGGATGCCGGGTTAACGTGATCAAATGATTGTACGCGTTTTGAAACGGTTTAAATTAGTTTATTCACTTTCTACAAGTTCGTCGCGTACCGAGACTTATGTTTCTCGGCGCTCGCTCTCTCGAGGACTGACTCGAGGGCTGCGCGAATTTCGGAGCTCGCGTAGGGCGGCAGCCGATCGGGGTCCTCGATTGGACCATCAGAAAATCAGGCGATGTACACACGCCAATTAGCGGCGAGTGTACACGTTGGTTTCACGTGTTTCCTTGGCGTAAACACTAAGGAATTTAACAAAAAAACATTCTAGAAAATTCGATCGTCCTCGAGGATTCGATCCGAAGAACGAATCTTCAACATACCGCCCGCCTCGTATGCGAACGAATGCGAAATAAACTTAAACGAAGCGGGAGCGAATCGTCGAGGAAGATGATTACAAAAAACATACAGGTGAAGACGACTCGCACTGAGAAAGTCGTCTCGAAGATTACATAACTCTTACAAGTTAGCGGCTTCATCCGTTGCGGACGCGTTAGAGTTATCACGTATTGGCAGTCGGCATAATTGCGCAATAGGTCGTTTCAATGTGGACCGTGCGGTGCGTATGGTCACAACTCGAACGAGTCCATCAGATCCGGGATGGATTTGCTGTACTCGGGCAAGCTCCCATTTGCTCGGAGGGAACACGGGACTTTTAACTAATACTAATTCGCTTATTGCGAAGTTAGGAGACTGCTTGCACCACCTGTTTCGCTGTTGAAGCGAATGTAAATAATCCTGTGACCAGGCACGCCACACGGTTTCCTGCATGGCACGGACTAGTTGCCATCGCGAGAGCCTACGCGGGTCGATCGCGAGTACCGATTCCTCCGGAACGGCTACGAGGGGCCGTCCAATCAGAAAGTGACCCGGGGTAAGCGCCGACAAGTCACCCGGGTCGTCCCTAAGCGGAGCGATTGGTCGCGAGTTAAGGCACGCTTCTATTTTACATAGAAGCGTCGCGAGTTCAGCCCTCGAAAGTGTGTGGGAACCAACAGCGCGCCTCAGATGCGTTTTAAGGCTCTTGACTCCGGCCTCCCAAAGGCCGCCGAAATGTGGAGCGGCGGAGGGAATGAAATGCCAGTTCACTCCGTCGCCTGCGAGTGCGTTTCGCAATTCAGCATCCTTCCATAAGGATTGAAAGTGTCGATGAAGTTCGTGGTTGGCTCCATGAAAATTTGTGCCGTTGTCGCTATACATGTGACGCGGCAGACCTCTTCGGCTAGCGAACTTCTGATAGGCTGCAAGAAAGCCGGGCGTGGAGTAATCTTCCACTAATTCGAGGTGAATCGCCCTTGTAGCAAGACAAACAAACAGAGCGATATATACCTTTCTGGCCTTTTGCCCTCTGCCGACGAATGAAATTACGTGGAGTGGGCCGGCGTAATCAACCCCACAATGAGTAAAAGGCGCCGAAGGGGTGACACGAGCGGCTGGAAGGTCGCCCATGAACTGAGAAGACAATTTAGCCGCGTGACGAGTGCAGACTACACATTTTCGAATGTGCGCCTTTACTGAGCTGCGGCCTCCAATGATCCAGTATCGCTGACGCAGCACACGGAGTACTAGCTGTGTCCCCCCGTGGAGCGTGGATTTATGAGCGCGATCAATTAAGAGATCGGATAAGTGATGTTTCGGAATTATTATAGGATGTTGCTCGTCATAGCTGAGCGCGGAATTCGTCAACCGCCCGCCAAGACGGAGTAAAGAGTCCTCTCCTAGAAAAGGACTCAATTTGCTCAACGAGCTCGAATGCGGCATGGTGCCGTTATTCTTTAGTGAGCGCGTTTCCCGCTCGAAGAATCTCTGTTGCAGATAGCGCAACCAGAAGATTTCCGCCCTCCTAAACTCATCGGCGTTCAGAAGGGGGAAGAGTTGGG